ATATATATATATATATATATATAAGGCCGTCTGGATTTTTCAGAGAAAAGTAGCAGCGACAAATTATTGTAAGCAACAAATTATTGTGCAAAATATGTATTGCACAATATTTATATTTACATTATATTATATTTAAAAACAAAAAAAAAGTGTACTTACGTAGAAAGAAAGCTCGACGCGCTGAGAATGCTTTGGCACGCAGGTGAGCGTTTCCGATCTGCAACATCCGGTGTCGTCCGAGCACCTGTGCAGTATGGCGCAGTGTGGTAGATAGGTGGTGGAGGGATTCGGATAAACGTCACGGACCGGAATGAGCCTCGCGCGTGGCCACTGACAGTTTCCCTCCTTGTGTACTTTCACCGCGTGCTGAAGAGCTTCTTTGATTTCGTCATCTGTAGGGGCAAAAAGAAAAGAAATACACGCACGCCGGTTAGTCCCCCGTGGGATATACGTTACAGTCGTGAGAGCAACAGGCGTGACTAATCTCGCTTTCGAGGTGCAATAAAAGTAAAGTTCAAATATCCCTGTCTCTGTCTATATCTCTTCTTGCGTCGGTGCGTAACAATTGCGTTTGGAAAGCGGCGAGAGATATACATCCACCCACTCGCGGCGGTGATATTTGATTTGTAAACGTATACTGTTCCCGTGATTTCTTTTGACACCGTGACTTTCCGGGTCGTAAATCCTTAAGAGAATTTTAAATGACCCACGAACCCTCTCGAATGTTTCCGAGTCTCTTGAAAAGTTATTAGCTTTCGTGGAAAAAAAAAAGACACATTCGACACGTTGTAACACGTTCGCGAGTATTTGTCATTTCTCATTCTCTGTGTGTAACTCATTAATTACTGTCTCCGCGCGAGGAGACGTTCGCGATAAAATGAAAGACACGAGAGCGTCGTCGGAGAGAAGTCCGTCCGGCGACGGAAGATCCTCGTTAGATCTGTCCGACACGCTCGGTTACCGCGTCGCGAGAGAAACAAGAATTCGCGATCACAACATCAGACGGGGAAAACGGGGGAGGTTTAACCAGTTTACGCTTTGGGACACTTTGGATACGCATCTCTCACAAGTGACACAAGTCATGAGAGCTTTCTATTGATTCAAACTCGCGGAGATAGCTAATCGCTTTCTACGCGCGTTTCACGTACTGTCGATAATTGCGGCGAAGCCGTCAATCGGGCATATAATTCGCTTCGGCGCACAGAGAAACCGCATTGTGACGGGAAAATCTAAATTCTAGTGCAAATAATAACAAGCGGCGAAATGTCAACTGCGCCTGCAGCAGAAGCGAGTAATTCAAAGACATATATATAAACCGTTTGAGGTAGCGATTAGAAATTCGCCGTTCGGTCGGAGAGAAAGCGATCCATTGTGTCGTTTTGTGACGCAGTTTTGCGACTGAGATTTTCGAGATCCAATTATTCCGAGAGGAAATACTCTGTGCGCACAGCAAACGCGCAGTTGGAGTAAAACAATTCCAGAGATGAGATTGTTTGCGATGAAACGCAGCGGTTACGCCGCGCGGTGTTAATCGGATCAAGTTCGCCGGTCGCGCGCTTTATGAATAACGAACGTAACCGAGCCGAGCCGAGGCGCCACCACGTCGTTTCTAAATCGAAATTTATTGTTGCGGATGATGACGCTGATGCGGCAAGTTTCCACACTGACACCGGCGCGCAACTTGTTTCCAATTAAAATGTGTCACGTCGGATAACGGATTAATTTATATTGATGTAAAGCCACGGTCGCGTCGGAAGAACCACACAGTGTTGCGCGACGAATCCGCGCTCGTAGAAATTGAACGTAATTGACGTTGTTATTTTTTATCGCACGCACGATCGAAGGACATGATGCGGCAGTTTCGGCGACAAGAAAAAAAGCACCGAGATGTTGTCTAGTCGCGGAGGTGCCAATTAGATGGGAAAACAAATTGTTCGAATGACAGGCTCGCGCGCGCTCGTTGCGGCAACTTTCTCGACGACGACACGCGCGACGAGAAACTCGCGACGATTTTTTTTTTTGGACGAGATTTTCGGAAGCGCGGTACGAATTTAGTTTTGCTCGTTTATTTTCGAGAATCGCGCGCGGTATGTTAATTCTTACCCCGACGTAGGCGTCGGTTACCGCGGCGCTGACACAAGATGATATCGCGCGCGATGATATTACAATGGAGGCACGACCGAGAATCCTTAAACTATTCATACGTTCCGGAATATATTACGGGAGAGAAAGGGATTTGGTCGACGCGCTGTGCAGTTGGTTTTTTTTCCGGATAATAAAGCGAGAGCGCGTGTAAATCTCTCTCTCTCTCTATCTCTCTCTCTTTTTTCGCCTTGTGTACGGATCAGATTGGTAACTGCTTTGATACTTCCAATCTTCGATTACTGCAGTGTTCTATTAACTTATTTAACGGAAGCTGACAATCTACGACTTTAAAGAGCCTTTAATAATTGCGTTAGATTTATTACGACATTAAATGGTTTGAGCATATTACGCCTTATTATCAAAAACTACAATGGCTCAAGTTAAAGACAAGAAGGAAGTATTTTATCCCGAGTAGAAAATGATTAAGGTTTGCCTGCATTTTGCTCCGGGCGCAATCAGGTAATGTCATGGCTTGCCTTATTTTGGAAAACCTGATCCGGTGCTGATAGTGTCTACATCAGGGTTACCGTATTATTTGATACGTGTGGCTCTTCTGTCAG